TCTCACAAAATGGTCTGTGTGTATGTGAACAGTTTAGCTGTTATATAGCAACAAATTTAAACATTATTTATTATTAATTTTAGTGATGTTTCTAGTGTCAAAATTTATACCTTTATTCATGGTTGTGTATTTTAACACTGTAATTACCTACTCAAGTATCAACTGACTCACTACCTTTTTCAACTAGAAATATCACTGAAATGACATTACTCAAACATGTTGAAATTGGAGTTAGTCAGTCTGTCAACTGAAAGACTGAAGTTGTGTGGTTTATAAAAGCAGATAGAGTAACTAGATTTGTTTGTTTGTTTGTTTCGATGTCTAGGCGCAAAACATCCAGGTCATAAGCGCCCGATCAACTAAATAACATCATTTAATACTATTTGGATGATTGGTACAAAAAAATAAAATAAAATAAAATAAAATAAATAAAATAAAATAAAATAAATAAAGAAATGGATTGATAGAATAAAATAAATAAATAAGGATAATAATAGACATTTATAGGTAATAAGATGTATAAAAAATGTATAAATAAATAAACTTTAAAAAATAGCAGTAGAATCAATAAAATAAATAAATAAATAAATAAAATTAAATAAATAAATTTAAAAAAAATAATAAAAATAAATAAATAAATAAAAGCCTGTCAAATGTGTTTTTTAAGTCTTTCACTATCCATAAACTTGATGACTTTGGTAACCATTTCTTCTTGATTTCCCAGCGATGCTGATATATTCTGGAGTATTCCAAAATCTTTTAATCTTGCGGTGTAAAAAGGGCATTCTTCCAAAATATGTTTTACAGTTAGTGATTGGTTACACTTTTGACATCGGGGGATAGAATCTTTTGTTATGAGGTGGAGGTGAGTCAGTCTAGTATATCCGATCCTCAGCCGCGTGAGGACGACCTCTTCTCTACGACTGCTGCGTCTGGAGCTGGTCCACGGTTGCACCTCTTTCTTTATTGTTTTTAATTTGCTAGGTGCGCTGATGTCCCACCGTCTTTGCCATTCTTGGAATATGGTTTCTCTCAGAGGTCGTGCAAGTTCAGATGGTGTCAAAAAAAACTTTACCGCGGCCTGGAAGAGTAAGAGCTTTCTTTGCTGCTCTATCAGCCATTTCATTTCCTTTAATTCCTATATGGCCAGGCGACCAGATAAAATGTGCCGTTGTTCCAACTCCATGAAGCATTTTTATAAGACTTAGAATGCAGTGTATCCCTGGATGGTCTGGATACATGTTATTCATAGCTTTCAGGGTACTTAGGGAATCCGATACAACAACCACATTTGCAACTGGCTTCTTCAAACTAGATTTGTATTTCCTACCGTCGATATAATAAATATACTTTTTGAAATTTTAATGGTCTTAATGATTTGTTAGCTCTAAGCTTTAAGTTTTAGCTCAGTTTAAAATGCACTTCAAAAATTTTATAACAGCCCAACATTTCCAGAAAATAATTTCTATTCAAAGTAGAGCGGTAAGTGAAAGTGGTGTGTTACGCGCACCAGATTTTTAAGATTGAGGTGCCTCAGATCTTAGAGCTACATTTCATTAAAATCGATTTAATATAAGAGGAATTTTATGTAATCCACTTTACACATTTTGGCCATTTTTCCGAAAAAGGTTCCAAATAGTTTGTTAAACTCTATACTTATTATATTAATTGAGAGTGGTGGAGGAGTTTATAAATATAACCTAGGTACATTTCGTTATATTATAATGTAATAGTCCGTGTTAACTTCGTAAATAGCTTCATCTCACCGTAATCTATATTTTTTTATTTGCGAAAATTCTCGGAATTGGGGCGTTTTCAATCTGGAGATCAGCAAATTTTGTCTATTTAATCTTAATTTAGCTTTCCACATGAGTCTTAAGATAATATCATCAAAATAATCGAAAAAAGGTGACCTACAAAAATACTGGGCTGTTTGGCCTATAAACGGTCCAATCTTTTTTATCGATTTTGTGATCAAATTATCTTGCAAACCAAGTAGAAAGCAAATGGTTATTTACGAGTTTTAGTACCGAATTAAATAGACAATGTTTGCCGACCTCCAGATTGAAAACACCCCAATTCCAAGAATTTTCGCAAATAAATTATTTGTAGGTTACGATGATATAAAGCTATTTACGAAGTTTCAGGATGTTAATAATTTGATGAAAAAAAAGATGTGTACGTACCACCGACTACAACGAAATGTAACGATAGATCAAAAAAGTTTTATGGGCGTGAGTTACCAGTGAAGTTTTGACCAGTTTTCAATCCAAAAATTATGTTTTCAAAAATCCTTATTGGCCGTAATGTAGACCTTTTATGAAATTATTAACATCCGTCTAAAACTTTGGAAATGGTTTCATCTTATCATTACTTACAACATTTTTATCAATGAAATTTCGCGGAAATAGTACTTTTCCAATCTGGAGATTGTTATTCTTTGTATATTTAATGAATTAATGAAAATTCACAAGCCGTCATTTGGTTTCCACTAGAATCTTAAGATAATTTGATCACAAAATCGAGAAAAAAAGGTGACCTTCGAAAATATTAGACCGTTTGACCTTCATCCTCAATGTCAAAATAACGTGGTTATATTAGCGAAACAGCCAAATATTTTTGTAGCCCACTTTCTTTCTTGAATTTGCGATCAAATTATGTCAGAATTTCAGCGGAAACCAAATGAGTGCTCGTTTCGTTTTCATCTCTAATATATCTTATTTATTTTACACAGAGTGTGAGTTTGATCTCTGAACACTATTATAAATGTACTTTGAGACAGATTGTAATATGTTTCAATAAATAAGTTTTAAAAAAAATAATATAACTAATTATAGAGAATTGTTAATCTAAAATAGTGTCCTCCGAACATTGTAGTAAAAATGTAGATTGGATGGCGGTATGGATTATGAGAAACGTTAAACAGATTTGTTTAGGTCCTGTTCTCTTGTTTCTTTATGTAAATAATCTGCTAATTTCATTTTATTAATTAATTAATTTAATTTGATTTTATATTAACATTTAAAGAATAAAATTGTTGGTTATGTGTTCTATTGATGATTTTAGATTTTATACTAATATTAATAAATGGCATTGTTTTAACTGTCGGATTTTTTAATAAATGTGATTTTTAAGTTATACTTTAGATTTTTGTAATATTTATTATGTAGCATGAAACGGTAAAAAATATATTGGAATACAATGAGGGTAATAACGTTTATAGTATAGAGATACACTTTATTTGTATGGGGTTCTCTTCTCAAAACAAATCAAGATTAAATAAAATAAATGAGTACGGGTGAGTTTTTAGTATCTCATTAAATTAATTAATCTCCTGAAAATTTTCGAAGTATCTTTTTTTTTTAATTTAGGATAAGATGAAGCCATTTCCGAAGCTTTAAACGGATGTTAATAATTTGAAAAATAGGATTTTGTACCGCTGGGCTAATAGCAATTAGGGCCCGTATCGGTTTTTTTTTTTTCAAGTTCCCTGACAAAAGGAAGTATTTAATAATTAAATTTAAAATATGTTATTTCAAATTTAAAAAAGTATTATTTTATCATTTTTTTTTCTATATTTAAAGCTTGTTTTTTGTTTCTAACGATGAGTTGAATAATTAGCTCGATGAATACAAATATAATATTAGGTTCTCACGGAAAGAAAGTGAATAAAATATATATGTGTGGGTGTATATTTTTCCAGGTTCTATGATCAGCTTCGTTATTATTTACTAAATTATTGTTATTATTAAGTGTGCCAATCAAGTTAATTAAAATAAAGTTTCCTTCATAACAAAGTAAATTTTTTCTAATCGCTTCAGATAATCACAAATTCTCCCTCTAGGAGTGACGCTCCTTAAATTTTGTTTGTTTTGTTTTCATTTTTTTTGTAAATAAGCTTGAATGTTCTTTTTTTTCTTATTTATTCATTTTTTTTTAATTTGTGCTGTATTCTGTTTTATTTCATCTGTTTTACTAAGCTTTCTTTTTCTTATTTTTGTTATAATTTCTATTATTTATGTGATTGTATATGTTGTATGAATGAGTTTCTTACATCTCAAATACTCAATATCCTTGATTGAGGCAAAATGTATTTTTCTCGATAAAAAAAAAAAAAGAGTGACGCCATTGCACGGATTGAAACTTAATTCATGCCGAATGCTAGAACACAGCTTGTTAGGTATATTCTTGGAGATGGCATGATTCACAGAGCGACAGGCCACCGTAAAATTACAAACTAACTTGTTATTCGGTTTTGCGAAAAAAACAAATGATGCTTACATTGGTTGAACCCTCCCCTAAAATGGTAAAATATAACTGTGGCTTATGAACAAAGATTAAAACATTATCTATTAAGTTCGTGTAAAATTGAATTTGATAAGATTTCAAGAATGACTTATACACCATTTCATATAGTTTCTTTCTTTTTATTCCAAAAAAATTATCGGTTTATATATGTATATTTATAAGAAAACTTTTGAGCTGAATTCCCCCAAAATTAAATCTTGGATCCGTTAGTGGCTTACAAGATAACATTATAGCAGAATCTATTTTCCTTGAAAATTTGTTTGGTATCGTAATTTACTGATTGCCTATCTACAATTTATGGTCCATATTTGTTGGTTTTAGATTTTTTTTTGTTTTTTTGCAACCCATTTAAAAGCAATTTTTCGGAAATATTACGGATTGGTTTGGATGTCAATTCCTACTGTTCACGAGGGATTGTTTGATCCATCGAGATATTGTTCTCAATCGAAGTCAATCACGTCAGTTTCGATACATTGTTTGATATATTTAATTTTCTAAAATTATAGAAAAATCTAGTTTTCCATGTTTTTGGCCTGGCCAACAATGCTAACCGATTTTCAAAAAGCAAACCTTTTTACTTAAATTTTCTTTGGCTTACTAATGTTGGAAATATATTCTTGAAAAACACACACGACGATGACCGCTATGACGCTAGCCCCAGATCCTGGGCGGCGGGGGCTACGCCCTGGAGGATGATCCTTTGTCCTGAGGAAGCACAATGGCCGGCCTTGAGGACATTGTCGCAGGACGTTGACACGGGTGTCCTGCGGGAGGTCCTTTTGACCAAAGTCCACTTTTCTTCTATTTACTCAGCCAAGGAGGGCTAATTTCGGGACAACAAAGCTGATGTATACTTTACACTCTACACATCTCTATCCAATCCTAACCGCATTAACTGCCACCTCCAGCGAGTTCGATCACCTTGGGATCACCATCCCAAGGGTATCCGCTCGACGGGGGCCAATGTCTTGTCTGGATGTACTCCTAGCTGAGACCCACCCCTAGGTTGTAGTGCCAACGAGATAGGTAGATACTCGTAGCTAAACTAAACGTTGGTATAACTTAGCTGTTTACGGTTAAGATAATGTTTAACTGCCAGTAAAAATATAAAAAACTAATAAATAATAAGAAAGTAAATATTTTATAAACGTAACAATAACTATTCTTGACGAACTCTTGAATGGTGGACTAGATGGGCTATTGCCGCCTGACGTGGCCTTCTTACGGACGTAAATTGCTTGCGAGAACACAAATAGCCTCGAGCGATCAGCCAACCTCACTTTTTTTGTATGTAATTTAATTACTTTTTAAATGTTTTCATATAAATTTTACTATAGAATATATATCTAGTGAGTCAGGTCCCACCATTTTTTCTTTTCTTTATAACTTTTTTTTTTTGCTGAATTTTCTCGGGAATTTACCTGAACGAAAATTGAAAATACATTAATTTTAAAATTATAGGAAATTTCATCAAAATCGTTAGAGCCTTTTTCGCGTTAAGGTCTATATACAAATATGTTTTTCACTTATTGCGCAGGGAGCACCCAATTTGTGTTGCAGGCATCAAAACCCTACAACATACAAAAATAAGCAGCAAAATCGGTCTACTAGTTCCCAAGGTAATCTTGGAACAGACAGACAGACTAATGGCTAAAAATGAGTTTGTCGGACTCAGTGAGCTCTGAAATGTACAGATTCATCGAAAGCCACACATCGGAAATTTGACAAGATCATAACGCTATCCTTACTTAGCACAGGTAGGAAAGTTAAAATGTTTCATGGCACTTGATTATTTAGCAATCTTTAAAGGCAATGATTAGCGACAAAAAAAATCATAAGTATAATGCATTAGATGGCTATGAAAAATATATGATAAATGATTGGTTCAAAAAATATTTTGTGCCCCCTGTGATTTTTACTTTCCTTTCCCATAGTCCGAAAATACCTATTTACCCGAAAAGAAAGATGATAAATGAAATTTGTGTGATACACGCCCCGCACCAAATGTGTTTTTGTTTTTTTTTTAAGCATCTCTAAGTTTCATAAAAAAATTGAATTAGAATACAGCTAATTAGTATATGATAGGTGTTGTGCTTTTTGTTAATCGTAACATATTTTACTACCGTCACTTCGTTCCATTATTTTGTCCATATTATCAAGGTTTTTTACTGTTATTATTTATTATATTTCTTTCGAAGATATTAAAATCAAAAAGTTTAAACGTCCTCTTTATCCGCTAATGGTTCCAATTATATATATCAACTAGAAATGATGGGGTTCAAAGTGGTATTGCCATCACTTAATTAATTTGCATATAACATGGTATTAATTTAACATGGTGTTGTACTTATAACATTAGGAATATTTGAGATTGATCATAGTTTACGCTCCAAATATGATATTGGGAAAAGAGAAAGGTAATCGGAAATTAGATTCATCAGCCGTTTGTAATTCCTTATCACTAACTAACCTAGATATCTTCACTTTCTAATAGAATTAAAAACGCATATTGATATTAAATTATAGTACGATTTTATTTTTGTATCATTGAAATTTTCTCTGTTTAACAGAGCCAGGTAAGGTTTGTGAAAATGAATACTTTTGTTGCATTAAACGCTTCATTAGTTTAAAAATTTCATAAACAGAATAAGGACCATATTATACAGTGGAACCTCTCTTAATGCACACTTCTCTACAGCGGACAACTTTATGAACCACATCAAATATTAAATGATTTCCGAATAGGATCCATTTCAGTTTTATTCACGTGAAAAATATAGTATTCCTGAATTACCCGCACAATCCAAAATTCGAAAAACTTGTATGAGAAATATTAAGGAAAACAATTTTTTTTTTAACTTCACATCTTAGCATTACGTACAAAGAACATAAAACATGTTGTAGAAAGTGTCATTATTCTCTCAATGTTATGTATATGTTTTTGCTTGAACTACACCTATTACATTCCAGACACTCCAAGATACTTATCATATTTGGTTTAAACTACTCTTATTTTTAAAATAAAAAACAATAAAAAAACTGAACAGAAACGCAAATTTCTAATGAAACATGAAGCAACATTAATGTAATGTGCATTTGTCAATGCTACTTTTTTTACTTTCACTTACTATATGTATACTATATGTAGTATATAGTAAGGGTAAGTATTGCGATCGAGAAAATTTTTGAATCCGAGTTTTCAACGGAAATACACGTTTTGGGGTACCCAGAGTCCAAATGACCAAGTCCCGAAAAATGGTCTGTGTATGTGAACACTCTAGCTCGAAAACGAAAAGTCGTACGAAATTGCTATTACGTATTTAAGATAGGTATGTGCCTTAGATGTCGCTGCAACCTTTTCCTTAAAATCGGCTAACCAGAAGTGCAACTTTATATCAACGCTGAAACACATTTACAATTTTCGCAAAAACGGCTCTAACGATTTTGATTGAACTCAGTGTATCATTGTATAATTAAGTGGTCTTTAATATAAATTAGGTCTTATTCCCATTGATGTCACATTACAGGGCTTAAATGTTCATATACGTCTACCTTTAAAGTACCTTTAATATGGTTTATTTTAAAAAGTTAATCATTTCACATTATTCAGAGTTACGGAAAACTGCTAAATATAAATTTTGAAAGAATTTGATAAGTTAATAGAGGAGAAAAAATAAGAATGCAGAAAAACCTACTTTACTATAGACTGTGGCGCCTAAAAGAATGTACCGATTTCAATGAAACTTTACTAGTATACACTTTTTTGTGGATATTGTGATAAGATGATTCAAAGGTATTTAAATTTCCTAAAAAATGAAAGAAGTTTCATCGAAATCAAAGCGCTATTAGTAGAGATATCGCGATTTTAAAATATTTTTGGTTTTTTATTTAAGTGCAGTTTCTCGTACGAGGACACAAATATTAAGACCATTCAAAATATTGAATCAGTCGATAGTGATCAACTTCTATGAGCTAGAAAAAACCTAAATAGAGCTAAACAATCTATACGATAAAGATGTTCCATGTCATTTAAGAACATATCAATTTAAAATCTCTTGTTTACTTACCTTAAATAAGTTCAGAATTAATTTTGAATGGTTCGTTTATTTACAGCCACTTACGTGAAGACTATTTTCTTTTAGCCATTAACGGCTCATGTGCCCATCTTCAGAACTCGTTGAAATTTCACTATCGATGTTAGGACTTCCGGCGGTCAGTCACGGAACTGAGGCCGCGGTTTAAAAAAATGGAAGAGCAGATCGCTTCCGGAGACGTGCGCAACTATGAAATTCGCCACCAGAAGGAGGTTACGCAATGACATAGTGCGCTAGCTGGAAGTTAGCTGGAAGAACTCGTCTGAGGGAAGTGAGCTCGATGGAGCATCTACTGGATATATGTATATATTTTTAATTTTAAATTATGAATTTTGGACTTTTACAGAGTAATCCCTTATTATAGGCCTTGGTAGTTAAATATAATAATATTAATCAGGCATGCCCAGAAAGCGATTGAATCTCGCACGTTGCGCCTTTAAAATTTTCGAGAGGTACTTTTTTACTGGTCTTTAATTTGTTTAAACGGGGTTATGAATTTTTGGAAGGTGTCATATTTTTGCCACCAGATTGCAGCAAATGTAAGACCCTATATTTTTTCTCACTGTTTTTAAGAAGAGAGCAACAAAATTTCTTGAAAGACACCTCTGATATTAATTACTGAAAACATACCGTTATTAGTGATACAAACCCAACTTTGTACAACTCTGTGAACAAAGCGATTAGTTTTTAAGAAAATATTTCGAGATTCTTCTTCATTTTTGTTTTCATATTTCATCGATTTTGAATTCGATTTTCATCACTTCTATTTTCTTTTTAAAATTTTCCTGCCACTAGTTTATGACAAGAGGAACTAAATTCATCAGAAACATTGCATACGATAGGAAAATGACTTGGGTCCTCCATCGTTAAATATTAAATAAAATGAACAAACGACTCTAACTTCTTTACTTTTATACTTTCCAAGAATAAAACTGATACAGAAATAAATAAACTATTTACCCAAATAGACCACCTTTCACTTTTAATCTTTTTAATTAATATATTACAATTTATAACAAAAGATTTCATACTAATATGAGTATCCCAAAAGACTATGAGAGAATTGTTACTGAGGTGCTGCTGAGCAGTTTTTTCTGATCATTAAAATGTCGTTATTTCCTCTTAATTTGAAAATATATACATAAATAATTTGTATTCATATGTTTATAGAATGTTAAGTGGTGAAATTACTTTTCCATTCTCAAGAATCCTACTACATCATGTCCCTCCACCTTAAACATTAATTTACCAAATCATTATTCCTTATCCAGTTGCGAATCTATAGTTAGGGACAAAAAACAAACTAGTTTAAAAATATTTATTTTTACTAGTGAAACCCTGCTGACATAATTTGTTCCATCCTTTCTAGTCACTTAAAGCTCTTTCATAGCTATCTTGGAATCTCAATGATAAATAATGATTATTTTCTTTATTTTCCCATTCTAGCTATATCTTAATATCAATACATATATAATATGTAAAATGTGTTTAATATATACTAATGTTTATGTTGTTTACTCTTCGTTTCAGTGCCTGAACGTACTGGTTCAGCATGGTACATCTCCGGACTATTCGGAGGAGGCGAGGATATACGGGAGGTTCCACGGCTGTACCTGCCGGGTATCCGACCCCAGCAACAGGGTAAGCATATCCTATAACACATTTCAGTGACCCTAGACCACTTTATGTGTCCACTGGATGAGCATTAACATCAAAACTTATAACACTGAAAAGTTCTTTAAATCAAATAAATTACATTATGAAATATTGATGGATAGTTTATTCAGTATGTCTTTAAGCATCTATAATATCACGCTACGACACACTAGCGGATCCAGAATTTAATTTTGGAGGGGCTTCAGCCCGAAGGATTTTTTTTCATACATATAACGATAATTAATTAAAAACATAAAAAGAAAGAAACTAACTACCCATATGACATCATGTCTTAGTTATTCTAGAAATCCTATTAAATGTAATCAACGAACAATAATAATTTAGGTTATAGTTTTTAATATTTTTTTCTATAAAACATGGTTATATTTTACCATTTTGGGAGGGGCTTCACCCCGAAAGCCTCCTCACGTAAATCCGCCTGTGCTACGACATATCGAAAAGAATCGGTTATCTTAAACCTCAATCAATCTGGAAAGCTATATGCAATCAATAAGCTCAGCTTGCTGTAAATATCGTTTGCAGTCACTATAAATAAAGCAGAGACAAACTTTTAAACATGTTTCCTTCCAAAAAAAGATGCTGAAAAAGATCGCGAAAATTTGAATTAAATTCGTAAAAACTCTTCCGAAGAAAAGAAAAAGGTTGTGGACTTCCACAACCTATTTCACATTTTAACAGTTCCCGAATTCATACAGCTCCATTAAAGTCCACTCTTTTTTCTCTAGTTTGTTCTCAAATCATCATACAATTCAAGTGGGAAGCAAATGGCTATTTACGAGTATTTGTTACCTAATTAAATAGACAAAGTTTGCCGACCTCCAGATTGAAAACGCCGTAATGCCAAGAGTTTTCGTAAATAAAAAAGTTGTAGATTACGATGAGATGAAGATATTCAAGTTTCAGGCGCATGTTAATAATTTGGTACAAAGGAATATTTACCACGGACTATATTTATAATATTTACGCTAAAGTTTTTATACCACTGAGGTAATATTTATCAAAGTACACAGTGATTTAGGTTTACGATATGTCACTTAATGATGTTTAACAAAGTCGGAGAGTAGAAGAGAAAAAAAAAATGAAGACAATTTAAAGATACTTGGATTCGAATGTTTTCCCTTTTGTTTTGTCACTTTGATCTTGTCACGATATTATGAGAAAAATAAGGATGAAACCATGCCGCAATAGTCCAGATATGAAAATGAACGTCTCGTTCGTCTAAAACTAAAGACTGAACGGCAGGCGGAATATCTTGTCGGGCAAAAAGGAAAAGGAACTGAGGACATCTGCGAATCAAAGGAAATTCGAATCGGTTTTGGAAGCGGAATACGTCAAGGGAGCCGGAAGGAGCTATTGTCCCGCCTATCAGGTCGGCACTGTTTGATCTAGTCACCTTACCGGCTACTCAAGTATAATGATAAATAACAAGTAAACGCCTATTTCAGGTAAATAAGTTGTTCCCTGTTTCCCAGGTCAGGAAAGAAAGAACATATAACGGAACTAATCCTTTATTTTGAGCCAAAAATAACCGATTAAAACGTATAAAAAATATCTGGGTAATCTGCCAAATAACAGGAAAAAACATCCTCATGTGCCAAATATTCAAATGGCTTAAGAACCTAGGTACTGGTTCCGTTTCACTACTCCTAGATGGCGACGGTTTTCACGATCATACTACTCCCAGATTCTCGAGGAATACCGAAAGCAGCCGAGTATAAACGAACTTATTTACATCCGACAGAGTTGTCTTGAATTCTACCTGATCTCGGGATAGGTTGGTTTTACCTAAGAAAAACGTTCTTCATCTCTTATTCTACCATTCTTTCATCTTTCAAACCCAACTTAGAAATCCGAAGAGAATGGACTTCCTTTTGTATCATCTGAAAAAACATCTTAAAAGGCAGATTCGTTGAAAATTAGCTGTAAATGTATTATTTAATTGTGTGCAATCTAAATGTGCTAAACAATATACAATAAAAAAATAATTTCAGTAAAAAAATAAGTTGATATAACTCGGTTACGTCTAACACAAAATGTTAAAATACCTAATTAAAATTAAATTTAACCCCATCCAATTGATAGATGCAGTTCAAAGAAAATATAATTTGGATTTTCATGGTTTCCAAGATGCTAGTCTATTTTTTTGGCTGAAGTAGGCAGGGCTACCCATCCCCTCCAAGGCCGATGGCGCATTAACCTTTCCTCACTTCTCCCAAGATATTTTATTCCTCTCTTCTTCTTAAAAGCAGTGCAGACAAATGTAGAATTTAAATACTACTAACTTATATGCAATTACCCGTTTTGCTGTCTGCTCCATGTTTCCACTTGAAGGATTGAAAACCCGTCAAAAAGTGCCTCCATCATGAAATCGCCTTCTGAGCATCTCTGGAAGTATGTACAAGAACAATAAAAGTTTTTGTATCAAGGTATAAGGTATGTTCAATTTGACCGTGTGGCGGTTAAAAAACACTTAAAATAGCTTTCACTATTTTAAGTATTTTGATGACAGCCAACACGGACCATCTTTTTCCTGAATATTATACAACGGTCAGTCATTAAGATCTCAATATAACGATATTTTCAGTTACAATTTTATCGAGAAGAATATTTTTTATGGAAGTTGAATTTGCATTAACTAATGCTTTGTAAATTGCCAAATCTTATCGAATTCTCCGTTTCAACCAGATGTGAACCAATTTTCGGTAGCAAGTTCTAGTTCCTATTATACTAATATGATCGACTCGAGATCGCCCCGAAGGATCCTATACAAGATGTGAGGACCAGAAGAGGTAGGATATTGAACCCTCCAGTGAGCTTTGTTTCGAGAGGATGGCAACAATAAGGAGCCCTCCAGGAAGAGAGCAGAGTGGACACCGCTAGGGCTTTGTGGTCCTCCGCCATTGTGGTCCAAGACGAAGAGACCTCTCGTCTGCTCTTCTAGGCATGTCCAGTCTGCGGGGCACCGGGGGAGGACAGTAAGAGGTCTGGTCACCAGGAGATATTGCGCGGTCAGTCAGGATGACACGATTGATGATTGTCATTCTGATTGGTTGTGTAAGGTCAAGATTGATGGACTGGCAATATCCAGAAATCTTGAAATCAAAGCTTCAATCACGAGAACTGAGTAGAGGGAGATTGACGTAGCAACTAGGTAGGTTAGTTCAGCAAGGACTCACCACCATCGCATAACCATTTTGCACCATTTTTAAATGGTGAAATGGGCAATAAATGGCAGTCTTAAGATTGACATTTATGATTGACGTGTAAGTTCCGCCACACAGACAGAATGAGGAATGACCTGAGGACGAAGCCTCACTTTGAGCCCGCTAGTACTATCGGTATAGTGCGTAATAACATTTATGTAGCTTCATAGAGAATATAGCTAACTTAGATAAGAGAAGAGTTGTGGAACCCATACTGAGCCACACAGGATGTCGAGTAGTCTTAACAAGTACAAGTGATTTGATTTGATTCCTTTTGAGTGAATCAGCTGAGGATTAGGAGAGGAAAAGTGAAGACAGGTCTCAAGAGTTTTTAAAGTTGTTTTTCCACTTTAAACACAATCTACCTTCACTGATTTCTTGGTTCCAAATTATAAATATCCATTTAGTTGATTTATATCAAGTATTTAATTATGCCCACTAAATAGTAAATATAATCCTTAACTTAATCTTTATCTTGATGTTCAATTTGACAGATAATAATAATCAGGCGTTCATAATTTCTAAAGCTGGCCTTTACAGTATGTACGAGATGGTGCATAACGATGACGACATTAATTATACCACCACCCCAATTAATTAATTATTTAAACAATTATTTTATGCAAATAAACAATCGATGGGAGAAGTAGTGCGTAATAACTTATATATTATTATATAATACGTGGAAAATAAACTTACTTATCTTGATTATTTCTGAACATTAAATTAATTCTATCAAACCTTATTACTTTTTACGACATTAAATTTTTGAAGGAGGAATGCAAACTGTATAATTTATATATATATAATGCAGTGGTGAGATAAATTCTTCGAAGTTATTCTGCTGCCAAATAAAGTTCTGCCCAATCAACTTATACCCAGATGGTGTTTGATGGTATATAAGAATGCAATGGCACTGTTTTGCATAGTTTTCCATCTAATCACGAGAGGTCTCCAACTCCAGATCTAGAAACACACCTCTCCCCAACCAATAAGAAGCCACCTCCGTTTTTTACTAGGGGTTATCAACTGAGCAGGCAGATCAGGTCTTGGTAAAGTACCTCGACAGAAAACTGTCAAAGTACAAACAAGGTCAAACTTCATTTTTCTAATAAATAAAATCCTTAAGCAAATGATTCATTTTCCCTTTGAGTAAATTACACACAAAACAGTTGAGACATCATTTTCGCTCCCTCAAAACCGAAATCCTGAAAGAAAGCCTCGCAATCGTTCGGGAGGTTAAAAAAATGTTTGATTCAAAATTTCCACTCACGCTTTATGTTTCAGACTTAAAGAATCATAATTGATTCCGTGACATTCGATAAAATATATGTGACTGATATATCACCAACTGCTAGGAATTGTGCGAGTTGGTTTCAAGATGCTCTCACATCAGTTTCATCGAATTCCATCGACAACTTCCGCTTGTGGATGCGAAAACGGTTTTTCAATATATATGTATTGAAAAAACGACCCACTCGATTTGGCCCAACGTTTTACAAATTTGTGAGATATGTGTAAAAAATAACAATGTAATATTAATAATAATCGTCCGCATGTTAAAGTGAAACGTAAGACGGTTAACAAACGACTCAAACTACTTTACTCTCTTTTTTCTTACTCTCATACTTACTTAAGCCTATATGGAAATACTCATCACAAATATATGGTATCGCTAAAAAGCCCTACCTACAAAAACTTCAAACGTTCCAATCAAAATTAAAATGTAACCGCGATTTATGGTAAAAAATATTAATATATTATCTCTTAAAGTATTATTGTTAGTTTAATTACATTTAATAGGACTTTAAGAATAACTTCAATACCATTTCATATTGGCAGTTTATATCATTCTTTTTTTCCAAAGTAATAGTAAGTATCGTCATATCATGAGATATTGATTGACCAGTTTCTATGAACATTTCTTTATTGGTCTTTCTTCTGCGTGTGTTGGTACACTAATCCTAGATCGCTCCGGTTATCATGTGGAGGATTTTCCTCTTAAATCTTTTAACACTTTTGGGTGTTAGTTAGTATTCAGGTTTATAAATATACAAAATAAAAAAAAGCTTTCAGCAAAATAAAAAAGAGTTTTTGTTTTGGAGTCTTTCCTCAATAATTCCAAGCTTTTATTTATAGAAGCTCTATTCAAAAATTCTTATACTTTCTTACAATATATTTATTTCATTTAAATGTCTTGTCTTGTGGTAATAAATAAATAATATCTTGGAAAGGTGTTAGTTATAAGAACGCTTTGACATGTGTGTGATAACGTTGCAGTGCTCCTACGCTGACTGCGTCAACTACGAGGAGGGCCGCCAGCCGTTCTACCTGCACTCGAAGGAGAACCCCTACATGACGCCGGTGGAGCACCCGGACCCCTTCTACCTGCACCGGCCCGGGGACAGCCCCGGCTACCAGCGGGTGCGCCAGCTCTTCGGCGGGTCCAAGGTCCAGGTGCCCTCCGCCCCGCCCCCGCCGCCGCCGCCGCTCCAGCTCCAGCTGGTCTCCTGTCAGCGGGTCAACACCACCACGGGTGAGTACACCTCCGAGTATAGTTTAGAGGTGGGGTATCTGGAGGTGGAAGGGTATTCCACTTAGCTCTGGAGTATACTTTACGGGGGATATCTGGAGGTGGAAGGTATTCCACCTCACTGGAGTATACTTTACGGGGGATGTCTGGAGGTGGAAGGGTATTCCACCTCACTGGAGTATACTTTACGGGGGATGTCTGGAGGTGGAAGGGTATTCCACCTCACTGGAGTATACTTTACGGGGGATATCTGCAGGTGGAAGGGTATTCCACTCGGCTCTGGAGCCAGGGACCAGAAATCGACCTCATCCTAGGCGAAGGTTTGATTGCAAATTAGGAAAATATATGTTATTCTGAGTAAGAAGAACCTTGTCTGCCGTTCCAGAGCCGCTGCTTTCAAAAATGGCGGCTGATTTAAAGAATATTAGGCCAGTAATTTAAGGATCGAAACGGGAAACCCATTATGAAAAATGTGAAAAAAGTTTTTATTTTTTTAACTTGTATATATGGGTTTAGGGGATATATAACTTGGGTTTAGGCATGTAAAAAACAAAATTTCTAACGCTGGCCACCAAGGAAAAACTTTTTACAGACAAAAACTCAGATTATTTCGATATTATTTTGTTTTTTCTCTTATAACTCCTAAGCGATGCATCTAAGCGAAAACTGTACTCGTTAATAAATTACAGAACGTTGAATTGTCTGTCGAACGAGTACATAAACTTTATAATTTGGTTACGTGGTAAGGATTAAAACCACGGTCTGATTTTTAAAAAAGTTGTCAAACACTGAGATAAATTACTATAAATGGCTCTGAAACTTGAAAATGAGTTCTTTAAGAGGAAAATCCATAAAATCAAAGTTGTAGAGCATTAAATTTTGGGTCCACTGAGTACCTTTAAGGTAAATCACTTACTCTGACCAAATCGTTAATCTACTGATCGTTAGAAATTGGTAATATAAACGTGATTTTCAATATTTCAAACAGAATGTGTGTCTATTGTATTTTTGTTTAGACTCTGTTACATGCAGTATAAGCCTCTTTTCCACCTCTCAGCAGCGAAGGATTTTGATAAACGACGTGTCGAAAGGTACCGAATTTCATAAAGGAATAACGAATCCCGATTCGAGATATTTAATGGGCCTATAATAAAAATGTCAGTTCTCAGTGGACGCAAAATTCGATGCTCTACAATTTTGATTCTACGGGTTTTTCCTCTTAGGGAAATCTATTCCTAGTTATAAGGCCATTTATAGTAATTTATCTCAGTTTTTGACAAATTTGGTAAAAATCAGCATTAGTTGACCGTGGTTTTATACCTTATCACGTGACCAAATTATAAAGTTTATGTACTCATTCGACGCACAATTTAACGTTCTTTAATTTATTAAAGAAAACATTTTACTTTTTGACCCACCGTCTAGGAGTTATAGGTGAAAAAACAAAACAATATCCGAAAAATCGGACTTTTGGCTGTAAAAAGTTTTCCTTGTTTGGTGGCATGCGTTAGCAATTTCGTTTTTTACATGTCTAAATCCATATATATACCAGTTAAAAAATAACTTTTTTCACATTTTTCATAATGGATTTCCCGTTTCGATATTCAAATTACTGACTGGCATAATATTTTTTTAAATTAGCCGCCATTTTCGAAAGCAGCAGTTCTGGGCCATTTTTGGGCCCTGGCTCCAGGGCTAGAAGGAGATAAAATGTAATGAATCTCGATCTTCCCACTATGGTCATTTACTTTATATAGTTTGTGATGATACATAAAGTAAGAGAAGGAAAGACCATATATGAGAACCAGAGAGACAAAGGAGTATAAGTGCATTTTTAGAATGAGTCAAGAGTGGCTGATCTGGAACTCTGTCTACTTCATAATTAAGATATTCACATATTGTATCCACCCAGTTCTCTCTTATAATGAACAATCACTAAAGTTCCAAACGAACGTTAACTTGTTTTTGGAGGTAAAGGGATACAAGCCATAGCTGTGCAATGACAAATAAATAAAAATGTGTCATCATGTTTTGAATAATGATTAATTTATATTTCAAAAATAAAAATATTAGCAATACTTCATTCATTTTTCAATAAAAAAATATTTAGCGCCAAATTCCAAGACAGATGTCTAAAGCAACATTCTCTCTTTCAGTACTGTACCTTAAAATCCTAGACATTGTAATGTACAATGTCTCCTACAGATAAGTATTACAACTTTGTTTAGTATTACTGGTTTAAATCTGTAACAATTTTTAACCTTAATTAAATTTTTTAATTAATTAAAAATACTTGCAATAAATTAGAATTTAATTAATGGGCATAATTATTTAAAGTGTTAAATCTTTTAAAGTTAAAATTAAAAGTATGTTAATATCTAGCTATCCAATGGTTTTACTTTCTATTAATCAATTTTAAAATGCTATAAATGTACACGTACATTGAAACAAATTCTTTTATCCCTGTCATTTTAAATGTTTAACAATATTTAATTAACCTTTAACTAATATTTTCTAAAAATTATTGTCAAGTTAAAAGTCATAAAAACTTTTCCATTTTATACTACTTTTTCAATATATATATATATTTTTAATCACTGATTGAATTGATATGATTATCAGAACAAGGTTGTATTAAGACATAAATCAATAGAGATATTTTATGATTTCATAAAAATATTTTTTTTTTTTTTAATTTGTGATAATAAATGTAAATGAAAGAAAATATAAGAATTTGGCGACTAAAAATCCTTTTTTAAACTTATAATTCGTTGTTTTAAGAATACAATTGTGTTGAGCAAACAATCCTTTTATATGTTTTATGTAATTCACTTTATTCCCCGACGAGAGCAGGTGTTTGATGACTGATAAGAGAGATAAGGTGAGGCGAGAAGAGGGGCTGGGCCAGTACTATGTTGACCAAGGTTTGTTTCTGTTGTTGCAAAGAGTCCGAGTCTTTTGACATCAATGACAATTCCACAATCATAAAGGATGTTGTCGTCAAACAGCCCAATGGTTTAGGAGATTTGAAAATTGTAGTGACAGACTCAGACACAGTTTCGCAGACGGAATCTGCTCGGGAAGAGCCCAAGAAGGCTGAAAATGAAGATGAAGTCAAGGATAAAAGTACTGCTATAGACTCAACGGTGAAAAATATAGAGCCATTGTTTTGTATGGCCAGTGAAGTTGTTATAGAAAACGAAGAATCGGTCGCCTCAATCCACAGTTCAGAAAGCCATATAGAGTTTCAATATGCCAGTAATACGATGGTTCACACTGAAAAACACCAAAACAACCATCTTGGTAATGCAGATTCACGGTAAAGTCGCTACTTTATCATATCATAAACCTTCTTTAGACCAATAAAAATTAAATAGGCTCTATACAGTTCAATTCTTTATTCTGTTAACTATATTGATATATTTAAGATTGAAAATCTGTAAGATAATGTTTTACTACTCAGTTAAACTTATCTTTGAACTGTGCAACTAAATACTGTTAAATTAAAGATTATAGCCTGTTGTAACAAACATTAATGAAATAAATAAACTCTAAAAGACAAGTCCAAATTAAATCATTTATACAAATATTATAAATAAAAAGAACACAATATTAACTGGACATTTACTAATGTTGGTCTTACACCTAATAAACTGTTGTCGAAATACAATGTTAAGTTTGTTTTTAAGAAATAATATAAAAAAATATCTCTAAATTATATGGATTCTAGAATCGTATTAAGAAATAAATAAGAATAATAACAAATGTTATTTAAATGTTCATAAAAACATTTGGAATTTAAATGAAATAATTCTAATTTTTATTCAATACTTACTGTAGTCGAAAAAATCAAATGAAATTAAAAACAGAAAGTAACTTAAAATAAAAAATAGAAACTATTCCCAATTTTGCTGAGTAAGCAGATACATTCTGTGTGGAAATTTATAATTTGTTAAACAGAATTTTTAGAATAAGTAATATTCTAAAGAATTAGGTTTTTCTTGTATTTAAAGATTTTGAGTTAATTATTGAATTATTATTTAAAAAAACAATCCAGTCAGATTTAATGAAATTAATTCATGTTTTGAAATTGAATGTAATCACAATGAATTATTTCTAACAAATTTATTTGGTAAAAAATACTTAAGTTTAAATTATAATATTTGGGGTTTGAAATCTACCTTGTATATATACTTTCCAAGTTACTATGATGTTTGAATTACTTAAGAAAAATAAAATCTTTCATAAACATTAGAAATAAATCTCAAGCTATGTTCCCATTCCATTACTCCTTTTTAGTTTTATTTTCTGTAGATTCATCTTTAAATTTAAAAATGTTAAAATTGCTATAAATTTGATTTGAAAAAATATTTTGAAGGAAAACTCAAGATTCAAAAAAACAAAATTGATAAATACAGTTTTTTGTTTAGTGTACATTCAATAAATTTATGTCCAACCGTATTAAAATTTAAAACATAAAATAATAAGTTTTAATTCAACTTATAAATAAGAAAAATTGACGAATAATGGAAATTTTATCAAACCTTTACTTTATTATTCATAAACTTTTATGACAGTGATAATTTAAAGAGCATGTCAGAGTTATTAAAACAAAATGACAATGATAAATGTACGATTGTTATCTATATTCATATTAGTGATAAGTTATGTCACAGTCTCTCTAACTGATCATATTCACGCTCAAAATTAAATTCAAATTTTATGAATCCATTTACCAGAAGAAATATTGTTAACAATAACAACTATAAGTTATTTTTTTTAAAATAATCAATTTATTAAAAAAATTTGACAAAAAAATTATGCGAAGCAGAAAAAAATTATAAAACAATAAACTGTTATTTACCTGTTTCTTTTTTTAATTAACGAGATTTCTATTTATTGATAAAATTTAGACATAGATACTTCATTGATTTTTAGGATTGTCCTTGACAAATTAGGAATATAACAATATACATATTATAAGTGAATTTAAGGTAATGATGTAAATTGATTAAACATTATTTTGAAAAAGCAAAGCTTTTACTAGAATACCTGTCATAGATTCTTTAATTCCAAATTTTTGTGAAGAACAAATTTAATATTGATACCAGGTTTGATTGAAGCTAATTGTGAAATGACATTGTCTTCATTCTATTTTTGCTTCATTTTAAACATCTTACATTTGTGCAAGTCAATAATAAAACTATTCAAATTGTTAGATGGTTTGTTTTTCTTTTAACGATTTATCCCTTCTGTATTGTACTTCTGGACTTTAATTCAGCTTTTTCAATTATTTGTTTTTTGCATTAACTCGATTTAGGTAATTTAAATACAAAAATTAACATAGTTTCAAGTATTCATGTTTATTATTTAAACTTACAGTTGATTTCGAAAGACAGAGCCAGTTTCTAGAATATTAATTTATTAATGTTTTTCACACATAACTTTCTAACTGTCTCAGTTATTCTAAATGCAAATTTTCATAGTTGCAAGTGAAAACACATAGATTTGACCACATCCTTTCATTCTTTATTTAATGTTTGTATATGTAATTGATATTTTCTTCAAACATCTGAGCAGAGCTATGTAAGACATTTTCCAATAGTTTTCCAACCTTAGTTAAATTATTGCTTACATCAATGATTTTGACTTTCAATATCAGAAGCTAAGTATTTATTATTTATTTATTCCTCCCTTCCTTGCCTTCGGCAGGGATGGCATATCACAATGTGAATGTCATTCCTGCTATTAAACGACAAGTACTTTAACAATTCATCCTCTGTGAGGCCATAGACTCCAATTTTTTCCATCATTCCAGCCCTTAGTCCATCAAAGGCGCTGCAGTTGACAATGACATGCTCAGCAGTCTCCGGTATTCCACAAGTGGGGTATAGGGGATCTATGTCCTTTCCAAAACTATGCAACTTAGAGCGGAAACCCCCATGCCCTGTAAGGAATTGAGAGATCCAGTAATCCGGGAGAACCCACTTCTCATCCAAGCGACTTCGGACAGTGGGGAAATACGTTCTTAAGGTTGCTCCTTTCTGAAACTTATTTAGCAATATTCAAGCAAATGATTCAAACTATTATTCAGTAAGCAGAGTTTATAGTGGATGATCGGTATTTCTCATCAAGTTCAGAATTGGAATTTTGGCCCACGCCAATTTCGATGTCGTATTCGTTACATTTAAATTTTGTTATGATATTCAAATAAATCACTGGAAAGTAAATAAAATTCATTAAAAAAATATGTTTTAAAAAAAGAGAGAAAGAAATAACTAGACAATTAAATCATTCACACAATCAAATATGAGATATTTGAAGTTTTACAGTTCTCAGGAGTCACGATACTTTCCATTATATAATACTACGTCCACTAAATAGAACAAATTAGCAAACTTAAAATTAAATTATTATGTACTATTTACAGATAAAAAAACACAATGTATTATCACTTTGTGTAAAGACATTATCAATTGTCAAATATCTCCTGAAAAACATCCGATACATTGTAAACTTGAGCATTGGGGGAAAATTCACAAGTCATTAAACAATATTGACAGACTTTGAACAATTGAACAGATTTGGATAAATATTAAAACACATTTGAATATTATCTTTCAGATCTCTTTGATGTTTTTCTCAGTTTGCTGTTTATTATATGACAACCTGATGAACAAATTAATGTACATTAGTAACAATCTTATCCTATTTTTTATGAAATGAGAAAAAATGTCATATTTGAATATGTGCAATTATCAACTTATACTTTTAAAGATGTTTATCACTTGAGTCTTGGTATTTTCTTTTTCAATGTAAATAGAAATGCATGAAGTAAAAAAAATCCTGCTTATTTTTAGATGAAAGTTTGTCTCTTTATAATTATTTCTAATTGATTAAAAAAAATTAAATCATATTAGTGATAATATTTTTCTTTCCAAAGTTGGCTATTTAAAAACAATATACAAAATGGCTGCTCCTGAACTAAAAGAAAAATTTCACAACTAAAAAAAAATAATGAAATGCTTATGTTAAAATATTTATTATACACTATATATTGTGACTTTTAATTATAATACTATTCATAAAAACAGTTATATTTTATTCAGCTTACATACTGCTTTACTCTAAGGGTCTAAAGTAAGGTTTATAATATTCATTTGTATTATACTTTATCATATAAATTATTTATGTTTATATTCTTTTATAATACTATATTTATTAGTTACATGATTCGGCGACAGAACTAAGACTTGAAAACACTTGACGATATAACAATAGATGACCTTCATTTTTAATAAGATAAACAAATATTTGTTATTGTTACCCGTTTGAATTTAAAATGAACAGCTTACTTGAAATAGCAAATTGTTTCTATTAACTGAAGAAAAATAAAATAAAAATTCTGTAATAATAAATTTCAATCATTTTTAATAAAAATACGGTCCTAGTAATAAAAAATAAACTTCTTTAGCAATTTAATTAATGAAGAAATAAAATTTTAAGAAATTATTTAATCTTTAATTGGTCAAAAAGAACAAGTTTAGCATATCGCAGGTAAAAGTAGTGTGGTTTTGTTTCATGAGAGGGAGGTTTTAACATTTATTTTGTGTTGAATTCATAATAAAATATATACCCATCTTTAAAAAATTGTGGTTTTAGTGTTTTTAAAATTATCATTTTTGTAGAGGGCTAGTTGAAGGTAACATGTAATTGGCTGTAGAGATCCCATAACTCCCTTCTTAAAAATTGTTTTTCTTTGAAAATAAATTAAACTTTATTTGGATGCATCTTTTTGATAACAATTAAATAGTTCCAAAAAAACTGTTGTCTATTGTAAGACTGTTCATATTGCCGACAACATGTTAAAGTAACAAAAGTGCAACGTTGGAAAGGATAAGATTCATTACTTTAATATGGTGCTGACGATATGTTAATTAGAGAGTTGGACAAGTTTACTGTATATGATATTCATAAAATTTTAGCTGTTAAAAGCTGTTTGATTATAGAAAGCAATAGATATGCTGAGTAATGTGTATATATTAAAAAAAAATAACCTAACACCAGCACAAAAAATGCTTATCTTTCCCAAGAATCAAATCTTGTTTATAGTCCAAAAGGTTTAAAGTGTGGTCAATTTTACTGCACAATCACTATATTTATTTGTGCAAACAAAAGTACATTTTTTTTACTGTTTTCAAAATTATTTATATTCCATATGTGAGTTATCCAAAGAATAATAAATTACAGATATTTTAAAACCATGAACAATAAAATTGATTAAACCACTCTATCTGCCAAGGCTAAGGTTGATGATATTAAATGAACAAGTATTGCTATTTTTCAAATATATCAAAATAGTAATTTGATACACTGATATTTTGATATATCAGCCCTTTATATATTTAATGTTCGAAACAAAGAGACCAGGATTAACATTGAATTAAAATGTTAGGTATTTATTCAAAGTAATGGTATCCATTTTTAAGAAAAATCCAAAGTAGTGGTATCCATATGTATACCGTGGCCTGAAAAGGGTTAACATATTATTTCCAACACTCCTACCCATCCTATCTAAAACTACAATAAGGTCATGAAAAAATTAGTTCTACCAGTGCTTTTCTCTCAGATTTGTAAGCTGTTGAAAAATGAATTTTTATATAATCATTTATTTATGTTTGAATAAAATATAAAACTTTTTTATTTATCTTTTTTCAGTGACGGTTGATGTTCATAAAAGTGACGATGATGATAAAGAAAGCGACATAACAGAAGAAGAAACCGTTAGAATAGAAAATACATCTGAAAGAGAACTAACACCAGAACCTACTTTCACAGAACCGATCCAGGCCAATCCAAAAGACATCATAAAATCTGAAGCAAAAGAAATCGAAGACCATGAATATGAAGATATATACAGTGTTAAAGGAAGAGATTCAGGATCCCATTCAAGATCCGGTTCACTCAGCTCTGCATCGAGTCATGTTGTAATCAGCGACTCTCCTGGTAAATAAATATTTTTAATTTTACAATAAATTTATATCTTAGAAATATTTACATTTATTAAGCGTAAGAAAAAATAATTCTTGTGACTATGATAATACCTCTTGAATTGATTGCCATCTTGTTGTTTGTTGGTCTGCTGAGAAATAGCTCTCGATATTAGTTAATGATTAGCATGCTGTGATTTTAACTTAAATCTTTACTTTTATATTTTAGCAACCACTCATTTATCTTCTGGCCGAATTTCATTGTTTTTAGGATCATTAAATAAAAAAGTTCTCAATTAGTTTTATGTTTTAAGAATATACAAACCCAACCAATCATTATTGTGTTTATGAGGCTTATTGGTCAATAAAAAGTTGAAGTAAATTGATAATATGACTTATTTTAATTATCTATCTTTAACAGAATATTATAAAAGTTTACTCTTATTAATCTATAATTATAAAAATTATGTCTTTATTATAATAATAAATGATATGTGGTGAATGTTTATAAACCACTTTTGTTGTAGAATCTGGAGTTTCAAGTCCGTCACCGTCAGAACTTGGAAAATCGGAAAGTGAAGAAAATGAAAAATCAAAATTAGAACAGAGACACTCATTGCCACATCAAACTCAAAACAACCGGTATGTTAGATATTTTTTTTAGCAATAAATATTTCAGTTTTATTGACAAATCTCAATTATAACTACCTTATAATTCACCAGGGTGTAAAACACATGATGTTAGACTATCCTAAGCCAAAAAAATACACTTAAAATAAATTTATGGAATTGCAATACATGAAGAAAAGTTTTTATTTGTATTTAATTTTTTAATTAACAATCATAATTTGGCTTTTAAGTCATTTTTACTCTTGCAGCCCAATAAAACATGCCGATTTTGTAGCAAGGGTCATCAGATTCGGTGGATATGTTCCTAATGTCATGGAGAACAGGGCAAGTAGTCCAGGTCTGTTCATTTTCCCATTTATAAAAAGACGGAAGATCTGATTTCTTGATACACCTATGGCATTGAGTAATCCAAGCAATGGAGCTATCCTTTTAAATATGCAAAAGTTTCCGAAAGCCTCTAGCTCTTTTTAGTATAAATTGATTGCCGGTGATAAGGAATATTACAATTAACGCAATATCTAGTATGAACCATAAATCTTTAATAAAAATTCAATGTCCTTCTCAGATGATTTTGATAAAACATTTAAATCCTAATAGCTATTTCCATTAAAAAAAGTTTAAAAAGGAAATTTTTATTATCACAGTGAAAACATTATAATAAAAATAATTCTTTTATCTGATAATAATACAAGAACAGGTTTTAATGTGGAATCACACTTTGTTTTTGACCTATCAATTCTAAAAAGTTCAAAAAAATATTATTGTCTCCTGTGGTAATTATTAGCTTGATGTATAGGTAATATGCTATCAATTTCAATTTTCTCTTCTCCAGTCATGTATTAAATAGAATTTATTTTTATCGAAAAAGTCTTTGACTTGAGCTACAGTTAATTTGGAATCCTTTAGAGTTTTTATGTTTTGGTTTTTAAACATAGTTTTTATTCTTTTCATAAAGAAAATCAAGATTAAACAATGTTTATGATAACAAAATGAACTAGCCTATTTTGCTCTCCAGAATTTCATCCAGAACACAATTTACTGTAGTTCCTTCTCCAGGTTCTTTATTTGTTTCTTCAGAATGTGATTGTTAAAGCTGCTTGTTGCAGAGCGAAGCTTCCATATTTCCTTGTTCAATATTACCTACATTACCATCTTTGATTTGAAATCCTCACTCTCTTAAAAAGAAAAAAAAATATAAGAGACTCGAGAGCAGACTCATTATTAAAAATCGCTGCATTATATCCCTTTGATCTGTATTCTGCAAATATCTACCATTTTTTTGATAACAGAAATGTTGGTCTCAATTTGAAACTGGCTAAAAATAAAATGTGTTTATTATATTATGTTTATTATATTATTTTATTTTTGCTTAAATTTTATTTAAAGCAATTGTTATTTTTTCCTAGTTGACAGACCAATTGTTAGTATCTACAATTTAAAAAAAAAAATTCATTAGGATGGAAATTTGATTTCTTATTTTTATATACTTTTGTATATCTTCAAAAATTGGGATTTTATAGTTTTTCAGGTTTACATTGGGACCAATACTAATTAAATAGGGTTTATTCAAAATCAAATTATTAAATCACATATTTTAAAAACTCATCATTAATTATAGGAATTATATATTCTCAATTGAAAATATTTATTTATTATATGAAATCATAAACATTATAAATAATGTAAACATTAATACAATCTTTTATTATTACAATATAAACATTAGTATTAATCCTAGCTATCTATACAAGACCATGCATCTAGTAATAATAATACTAAATAATATTATTAAACATAACCTCAATTTAATGATAATTATGCTGTTATCTTTAGTTTATATTGCTCTTTATCTCTGCAAAATGGGTCTTCATTGGAGGAAGTTGCAGTTTCCAAGTTTTAAATTTAAATTTCAATGTCTACTCTTAAACTACAGAGCAATTGATCAAAGTGTTTCTTTTATACATATAACATAAAATTTCAGTCGTTATTATTTTTCATCATCGATTAACATTTATCAAGATTATTGAAACTAACATTTTTAATTAGTAAAATGGGTTTGTGCCACAGGTACTAAAACATTTTTATTATTCAACAGTATTAATCTCTCCACATTTTTCTAAGTCTGTACTAACCATAATTAGTAAAATACTGGATATTTTTAATAAATCATCAAAATTGATCTATTTGATTTCAAGAATGCAAAATTTTAAAACTAGAATAATGTACAATTATGATAAAATATATCTTGTGAACTTATTTTGGTTTTGCTTATTAAATTGTCGAAAGTTATTGAACTTATGGAACTTTATTCCTCCCTTCTAGTTATATATAGTGTTATTTGTAGTGTTATTTGCAACAGGATATTTAAAGTTGACTGCAATTATTTTGTCATTAAAAATGAGATATTTTCCAAAACATATAGAAATATCTGAAAGGATTCTGGATGCTAATTGGTTAATTATATTTAACTTAAAATCTTTTTTATTATTTATTTTTTTTATCATGCCCGTTTCTATATAGCGTTGATACAATGTTATGATTTCAGGAAGGTTTTGCAGTACTATCATTATAAATCTTTGAATACTGTCATTTTTTAATTACAGTCATGTCATGTAATGAAATAGGATAACTAGGTTTTTATTTAGACAATTTTCAGCTCACGTTAGCTTTTACCAAAGTTTAACCATTTTCTACTTCAAAGTAAGCTGTACCGAAATTTGTATACAGCATTATTTATTTCAGGAATAAAAAGTAATCTTTTTGTAGTTTTCATTTTTGACAATGGAAAAAGTATGGTCGTATGCAAATTTATGAATTATTGCTTACATCTTCATTTAATTAATTTGATTTCAGGACATTAAAAAGAGTGGTTTCGGTCCCGACCAACATGTGCCCTCCACCTCCACCACCCCCGCCTCCAGAAGACATTCCTTCGCTACCATCGACTCCAGCAAGCTCTCCCCACATCTCTTTAGCTCCAGTAAATTCATCTCCATTGCCACAGAGAGAAGAAGAGCGACCGCCTCAACAGAACAGTAAGTTATACTTTCTTAATATTTTTTTCCTCATGGCCCGAAGCTTTTACATGTGCTTAGTTGTTACATTTAATAAAAACAAAATGACTTGAGAAATATTTTTTATTTTTAGTTTTAGAATTTAGTATTGTTTTACTCGTTAATTTTTATGTATCTCTTAATTTCTTGAGAAGTTTCCATGAATATAATAAAACCTCTTCTCATATAGAAGTAGAAACAAATTACCTTAATTTTTTACCTATTGTTTTTCAATAATTAATGCAGAAAAAACAGTTGGTTTTTTTTCTTTGTGGTCTCTAAAAAAAAAATTTGGTGCAGTGCACAAATCACACAACTTTCACTTACCACATACTTTGAGTATAAGTAGATATTTCTATGTATTTGCAAGTAAATGTAAAACTTCTGAATGGTTCAACATATTCACTTAATGCGTTAATTACCATACATTTTCCCCACCGACCTAGTCTGAGAAATTTAGACATTTTTCATCCTTGTTCATGCCTTCTGAGATTTTTTATTTTTTAATCTCCTTCTGTCAAACAGTAACCTTATACAAGGACCGTTTATTTGCTAAATTTTACATGTTTCATGCATTAAGCATAATACATGTATATAAACCATCTGAGTTCCTATGTTTTATTTACTCATTTTTCAAAATCAGTAGCTTTCTTGCCATATGTTATGTGCATATATATTACTAACCTTTAGTTTAATATGAAATTCTTTCATAGTTTAAATGTATTCACTTTTTATTACTATTGACAGTGTGAGATAGTCATCTCTCATTATTTCAAAAATACTTTAGAGGAACAAATTTTTTAAATTCTGCATTAAACCACTACTAAACTATTTCAAAAAGTTTAATACCTACCTGATGTTGAATTATTTGACTTATCACTCTATTTCCAAAGACTGAAAGTCGTTGGTATTTGGTCAATTATTTTTAATCATGAATATTTATAGAATAAAAAAATGAGACTACCACCTCCTCAAAACTTGAGATTCTATGTTTCAAAATATGTAGAATCCAAAAATCGTAAAGACAAAAATCCTCCATTTAGTAACTGACTACTGACATCTGTATTTTTAGATTTGGCTCCAAAATAGCAGGTTGATCCGGGGATGAATTCTGGAACATTACTATCATTCGTCATTTCGTTTCTAAATTACGCCTTAACCATTTATGATGAAAAAACATGCAGTATTTATTGATCATCCCAAACTGGCTAGTTATTCACTGATCTTGGAGACTTAAGTTCTTATTTTTGAAATCTTTCACTCATATCCTAACTTTTAGGGTTTTAACTTTTAAGCCCTATTAAAAGTATGGTATGGTTTAGACAATAAATAATCTATTAACAAAAGTAGAAAACTATATAACTATGCAATATAATGGATCATTGATAAGAGATCACCAGCTTATTAAGAGAATACCCTTGCAGCGGAGCAATTAATGCTGTTAGGCGAGGATCGGACTTTGGGCAAGTGTGCCATCAGGAGGGTGTGTGCGCGCGGGTCCGTGTCCTGGAGGCCACTTTTACTTGCTAATCAGCTACGTCTATCTCGTTAGACCACTTTCTTTTCATGTCTTCAAGTCCTCCTTATCTTCACTCAAGGACACGTTCGAGGAGCGGGCATAATAATGCTGATTTGAGCTGCCTTGGATGCAACCTTTTAGTAACGATGGCTTTTAGGTTCGCAACTCGGAAGTGGATGAGAAATGGGCATTGGTGTATCCAGTATGGGGAGGAGGATGCCCCCTGAACAAAAGGAGCAATGTATATATTTAAATAATTTTATATTTGATACTAGTAAATATCGAAACAGTAATTCGATATATTGGAAAAATATCGATGAATCGGTCCTCGATATTTTTACAAAGAAAATCGTATAAAACTTTTATTTTTTCATTTAAATGCTCTTCAGCAAATTAAATAAACCTCCAGATTTCTAAAAAACTTCATTTATTAATTTTTTTTTATTTTTTTTTTATTTTTTTTTTTTTACTTTACGAACGAAATTTGTCCATTTTCTACAAACTTTTCCTCATTTATTTTTGTTAATATTTTTTATATTTGCTAATTTAATTTAATATATATGAACTTACGTTATATACCAACTATCGTCAACTAAATTAGTTCGCCCGAAGGAATAATTCGCTTTGTATTGTCGATGAATCATTGACTAAAACTGCAATATGTTGCGTCTTTTCTAATAATAGTCACATTTAGATAATTCTTTCATTTTGTAAGAATAACACTCAGTAAAAATGTGCTCCCTCAAAAATGTTGATAACACAACTTGAATATAATCAACCATAAACTGTATATATTTTTTAATTACATTTAACTATCGCAAACAAAGTTTTATTTTCTTGATAACTTTTTCCCTGATTTTTATTTTTCCCACTTGACGGTGTTTTATTTTCCAAAATCATGATGCTCCATCATTTGATTTAGTAATTTTTGGCGTACTAGTCGCAAGCTTTACTTCTTTCTTTCTTAAATGAAAATCTAAGTTTTCTTCCGAAGTTTTCAAATAAACATATTGATAATTGCACACCTGACCCCAGCCTGCCAAGAGCACTCAGGGACAGGCCAATGCTCCTGGAGAGCTCGTTATCCTTTGAAGATATATTATTATTATAATCCGATTGGCCTAGAATACGATAGCATATACTATATATGGCGGCAGTGGCCAATCAGAGCAGAGCGGATTACAGGAGAGGAGGGGGAGATTGTGCGAGTTCATCTTTCGACCATTAGTAACTCATTTAGCAACCGCAGCCAATATGATCGTAGGGATACTGCTATTAGCAGGTAATGCATTTTTTTTTAGTTAATATAGCCGGTACTGAAAGTAATCGTACAATATAATAACCATAACGTTACGTTATGAAGTAACTAGTTACTGTCACCGACCGTGCCGTATCAGTTCATTAGTAACTCATTTAGTAACCGCAACCAAAATGATCGTAGGGATACTGCTATTAGCAGGTAATGCAGTTTTTTTTTATTTAACAAACCCGTGTCTGATTGTAATCATATAATGTAATTACGATAACGATTCTTTATAAGATAACGAGTTACTGTCATCATGCGAAATGAATACTTTCTGATGCAGGCCAAATCACATTTTAATGAAAGTACATAGCCTCGTCCTATTAGGACCATCGAATTAACAAATGTGATCTTTTCGATTAAATAAGAAATAAATTTAAATATTTCATCTAATTCTTGTTTTATATGAATCTTTTTTCGACTGGCACAATATACGGTCTTTCAATTTATAGATTTCTGTCTATAGCTTGAATATTTAATATTGTATGTTCACTACAATAAATATCTTCGTTCACGATATTATTATTTTTTTTATGACAAAAATCCAACCTTCCTATTTATTGTACTTTAAGCCACTGGGGAAGGGCTTCAGTGGTAAAACGTAACCATGTTTTATGGAAACAATCATCTATAAAAGTATTATTGTTCATCTAATTACATTTAATAGGACTTCAACAATTAATTAAAGAGAATTTCATATAGGTAGTTAGTGTCTTTCTTTGTTCCGGAGTCATTATACTAATATATTTATACAAAACAAATCTTTCGGACTGAAGCCTTCCCCCAAAAAAATTGAATCCTGGATCCGTTAGTGGTTTAAGCTCATCAATTTAATCTGGAAAATTGATTCCACTAATCAAAAAAGTAAAGTAAATATTGACAGCTTGTGAGAATTCAATTAATGCATCTAAAGTATTAATGAAATTAATTACCTCATCTATGTCCACGAAAATCGATTTTAAATAGTTCTAGATTTGAAATAGTTATTTATTTTTCGCAATTTCTCCGACAGACATTGTAATAATGTCAAATGGCAAATCTGTGTCTCTAATAGTTTCTCTCTTAAAAACTGCCTCTGGATCCCCCAATGCTTGGCGTGCAGCAGTGATAATTCATAATAACACAGTTCCTTCATAGACCACATCGGACAATACCTGGCAAAAGCCATCTTGAAAACACAAACAAAATTTTAAATAAAATGCCACAATATTAATCATTCTTCACTTAACTTATAAGATGATAAAATAATTGAAGCCGGTCTTGGGAAATGTTCTATAACGCACTCTATCTAAATTAAATAAAACCAATATTTCAAAATACATCACATCTATCGACAGAAATATACGAACTGTTGAATTTCACATACATAATAAATAAATTTCTTTCTTCCATTCATAATCACCCCACTACGGATGTCCTTGATATTTTAATTTATTCTGGAAAATCTGAACAAAAAAGAGCTTGCCAAGAGATCTCCTGGTCCACTGATAGTCAACGGCGGATTGCATATTTATCCCTAGTTATCCGTAATGTAGGTAATTCAGTTAATAGCACCATATAGTTCTCACCGAAGAAATACTTTAAGTTTCCTTGATCGCAATGTATATATCAACCACAGCAGATATATTATGAAAGGATATATTTAAAAAAATATATTGCAATACAATCAAGAAAGTCATTCTTTTAGAGTTGATAGTTTAAATTTCTAATGAATTTTATTAAATTTCTCATTCCCTTCGATATCGAGGAAGCAAAAGTAAATATAGAGATGAATAATTGTCGACTAATCAATTATTAGGATGAAATAAAATTGTCAGAATTTACAGTCAAGAATATTTATTAAAGGTTAGCCGACGTTTCGACCCAAACATGTGGGTCATCTTCAGGACTATGGGTTGAAAGTCGAGATATGAACTTGGAAGTCAAATCACGTGTTAGAAGAAGAGCAAGTTTTTAAACTCAGTGCTAATTCCATCGATGAAATACATCAATGAATTTTATCTAGTATGGCTGAAATTCAAGCTGGGTTTAGAGACGACTTGCTGGATTGAAGTAGAAGGTAGACAAACCGTCTTGAAAATACAGGAAAAAATATATACAGACGCGTATGATATGTATACCTACCCAATGAACTGTTTAATTTAAAAACAATAATAATTA